TGGTTTTCTACATATCGACACCTTTTTTTAAACCCCACATCTTTTCTCCGGTGAATTTCCGGGAAGCACGAAAGATCTCTTTTTAGAAGTGTCCAATCGTCCGATCCTGATCAAATTTGTGTGTTTGTAAGCTTGCTCTGGCATTGCTTGATTTGCCAAGACAGACAAACTTAAGAAAAATCGAGTGACTGTACCTTTTTTGAAGGTTTCTAAACAACTTGTCTGAACTTCACGGGAGAACAAATGTGGGGTTTAACCCTCGCCGGCCGAGGGGGGGGGGCGGGTGCCGCCCCCCCATAGGGTTTTTTCGCGATAGCTCCGAACACGCTGGCGATAGAGAGCTGAAACTTGGCATACCTGACCTTTGATCCAAGCCGCATCTTTTGACACCAACCGCATTTTTGGGTCAGGTCAGGTCACTGACCTATGACGTCATAAGTGAACCTCTGCACGGTCTTCAGATGTCGCAACTTCGCAACGCCCTCACTGCCAGAGGAGATGTCACAGGGAAATGAAACTTGCAGGATCTAGTATCCATTATGAGTCTCACAACTTGTATATCTCGGATTTTTCCTAAAGGTCATATGAGGTCAGGTCATTTTCGTGACCTCACCATTATAAGTCAATGGGGAAAAATGAAAACTGCTATTCTGGCGCCGGGAACGATCTCCAACTATCTCAAGCACACAGAATCGTGATTTGATGCACTCCTTGCAAGGTTAGAGGCGTCACTTTTGCAATGTTGACCTTGCGTGACGTCATTTATGACGTCATCAAGGTCATATTAGTTTTTCGTCAATAACTCTTGATCAAATTGAGATAGCGAGTCGAGAAAGCCACCAATGTACTCAGGAAGACCTGCCGAATCGAATGATATGCGACATGACCTCTTTCGACCTACTTCGTGACCGGGGGGTGCTGACCTGACCTTGACCTGAGGTCAACACCCAGAGTTGACCTGACCCGGACAAAAAGTATATCATTCGACGCGCCTGAGCGAGGCGAACACGATGCTGCCAAAATCGCGGCTCTGCGGCCGTTTTTTGCGAAGTTATTCACCAAAAACTGATTCGTACCCTGGGGCACTTGACCTGACCTCAGAGGTCACCGGTTGACCTAGGACCTTAAAATCGGGTACCAAACTCTGCGTCTCGTAACGGCGCACACGCTCGTTTTTTCCGCGACGCGCTAGCTCTACCAGGGGCGAAACGGCGAGGGGGGGTCGTACCCGCCCCCCCCCCCCCCCTCGGCCGGCGTAGAAAACCAATAGGTCCGGCGAGGGTTAAAAAAAAGGTGCCGCTTTGCGCCGGCCGAGGGGGGGACGAGTACGACCCCCCTCGCCGTTTCGCCCCTGGTGGAGCTAGCGCGTCGCGGAAAAACGAGCGTGTGCGCCGTTACGAGACGCAGAGATTGGTACCCGATTGTAAGGTCCTAGGTCAACCGGTGACCTCTGAGGTCAGGTCAAGTGCCCCAAGGCACGATTCAGTTCTTGGTGAATAACTTCGCAAAAACGGCCGCAGAGCCGCGATTTTGGCAGCATCGTGTTCGACTCGCTCAGGCGCGTCGAATGATATACTTTTGTTCGTGTCAGGTCAGCTTAGGGTGTTGACCTCAGGTCAAGGTCAGGTCAGCACCCCCAGGTCACGAAGTTGGTCGAAAGAGGTCATGTTGCGTATCATTCGATTCGGCAGGTCTTTCTGAGTCCATTGGTGGCTTTCCCGACTCGCTAGCTCAATTTGATCAAGAGTTATTGACGAAAAAATAATATGACATTGATGACGTCATAAATGACGTCACGCAAGGTCAACATTGCAAAAGTACGCATCTAACCTTGCAAGGAGTGCATTAAATCACGATTCTGTGTGCTTGAGATAGTTATACAGGGTGTCCCAAAAGTAAGGTCATCATTTGTTTTGGCCACACCGCTAAAAATACGCGATGGATAGAAATAAATAGGACATCATATGAAAGAGCATTTTATAAAATTTTATTCTGATATACATATGAGTCAATATATTGGATCGTAGCCCCACATTTGCTGCTTTTCTGCATGGCTACCATTTCGGGTCGCGTGCACGAATAGACTGCGTTTTACTTCCTCCACTATTCTGGAGCGATTCTCTGGTGAGATGCCGCTTATGTTTGCTCGGAGGGATCATCCTTTAGTTCTTCCCGGCTCGTTGGGTTGTCCTAAAAGACAACCTTTCCGTTGTGTACCCAGAGAATAAAAATATGAAGGTGTAACGTCAGGTGACCGCGGAGGCCATTCAATGGCGTTGCCCTGACTGAAAATTACGCGATCTCACATCCACTCTCGGAGACAATGCATGATCTTCAGGACGTTGCAAGCATAGTCTCCATCCTGCTGAAACCACTGCTGGTTGATGGTGTCGGCACAGCTGCGTTGCGACGAGCGGAAGAACCACTGGGAGGACTCCCGGTCACCTCTCTTGATTTATTTTCACCCGATTCCCGCCGTCGTCCTCAGGACCTCGAAGCACAGGTGGCTAAGTATACATGCCCTGTGCGTACATTGTACCTTTTTTCTGACGTTTTACCAGTTGAGGCGAAACTATGCATGAGTTCAGAGATAGGGCGAGCTGATAGGGTCTGCTTAGGGCCGAAAACTGGGCGGTATTTACCCTTTGTTTTAATGACGGACCCTCTCTAAGAGTTGAATTTCGACCTTCTCAGTTTTATGCCTACTGCTCGGTGTAGTTATGATCAAAAATGGTTTAAGCATGCAATAAAATAATTTTATGGATGTACCTTGCACGTGTTAAAATTGGAAGTGATTCGGACTCTTACTTCTCGAGATATTTAAGTTTTAAATCATGACCTTACTTTTGGGACACCCTGTAGATCGTTGCCGGCGCCAGAATAGCAGTTTTTATTTTTCCCCATTGACTTAAGGGGCCCTGACACTTGCACGATTTTGTGGCACGCATTGGTACGAATCGAATCGTGCCCGTGCGCATACTAGTCGTAAACTGACGTGAAGTGTGCGTTAACTCGTCGTGATTTCGTGCCATGTCGGGGCGAGAACTTTGAAACGTTCAAAGTTTTGGTCACGACAAAATTTCGCGACCGGATCGTGAACTATGCGCAAACTGTTCGTGAACTCGTCGTGAACTCGTCGGGACGGTGCGGAAAGTGCGTAAACTATGCGCAAACTATGCGAAAAGTATTCGTGAACTTATCGTACCAGTCCGTGCCAATGTGTGGACCTCGGCGCTTACACTGAAAACAAAATTACCCATGGGTGATGAGTAAACTCATGAACCGGCGGTAATTTTAAACAACCTATTTGACTGCTCCAGGCGCCGGTAATGTAACTAGGCCTGCACCGGTCATTCCACCTCTCAATTGTGCGTTAACTCATGTCTCTTCACTCGTGTATTATGAGTTAACCCGCGCCCTGCTGGGGGTCCTGGATTTCCACGCCCTGCTGGGGGGGGTGTTTGAACACCCCCCCTTGTAACTCGGCTCCTGGGCCACGTAGCGATACGCGGAAGGCGGCGTTCGAAAGAGCGTAAAAAATAATGACGAATTCACTTCGGTCAATTTTTTGGTCAGGTCAAAGGTCAGGTCACCAGAGGTCATTGAAGGCAAAATTTCGCCGATTTCCAGGTCGAATGTCGAAAATTTCCAAGAAGCCAACGCATAACTCGGGAACCAATAGAGCTACAGCGCCGCGGAAAAGCGCATTCGATAGCCCTATTAACGCCCTTTCTGAGTAAGTCTCTCAGATTTGACCTAACGTCAACGGTTTTGCCTGCAGGGGGCAAAAACTGCAAAAATAGCCGATTTTTTCGGAAACAGTTTTTCTGCAATAACTTTTGACCCAAGCCTTGTACGAGCTTACTTTTACCGGCATCGTGTTCCTCTCGTCAAGACGCATCGAATGAACTATAACTTGACCTTGAAAGGTCAACTTGAAAATTTGACCTCAGGTCAAGGTCATGACCTGACCGGAAATGGTCATGTTGCATATCAGTCGATCCGTATCGTCGAGCTGAACACATCTAAGGCGTTTTCATCGCTCTAGCATGCCTCTATCAAAAGTTATTTGCGAAAAACTGTTAGATACCATTCGTGACCTAAGATGACCTCAGGGCATAAACAAGGGTCAAGGACACCATTTTTAAGTTCAGTGTGTCTAAACCACTTGTAATTCGGTGTTTGGGAGTGTTTATAATGTCTTTCATCCAAAAGAGGCGCATTTCAATTTTCTCCCATTGACTTATAATGGGGAGGTCGCAAAATTGACCTGACCTTAGGTCATCGATATCAAAATTCTGAGATATACATTTTGTACATGCTATTGCTCTTAGCAATCGCTGAAAGTTTCAAAGCGATCGGTCACTCGGTGTAGCTATGACAGACATTGAAAGTTTTTATGAGGTGAGGTCACTTCAAGTGACCTTGTGACCTGACCTTGAATGACCGTGGTCTGAAATTTTCACAACATGTGTAGAATTGATGTATAATAAGGTGTACCAAAAACGGCGGCGCTCCGCGCCGCCGTTTTTGAGATATTCGCGAAAAACCACAAGGGGGGGTGTTCAAACACCCCCCCCCAGCAGGGCGCGGGTTAACCGATTGTGAAAAACTCATGTACTCTTGGTAACTCATTTTGATTACTCATGATATGCGAGTATAGGCTTACTCATATTACACCGTTAATGAAGACACCACACGTTTGACTACATGAGGCGCTAGTAAATGTTACTAGCCCTGTAGCGGTCACATCACCAATGAGTTGCGGGTTAACTCTCGTTCCCTCACTCATACCACATGAGTTTACCGTTTGTGACGAATTCAAGCATTGCTAGTAACTCATGCCATGCAACGATTGATACGCGAGTTAAATGTAACTCATAACATGATGGTCAAGTGAACACACCTATTAGATCGCTCTGCCGCCGGTTTTTCCACTCTGTCGACTCATCCCATGGCGGTCAGCCTCACCCATGAGATGAGAGTCATAACATTAAAACATAAGGTTTATTAAAACAATGCATAACATGCAGATAAACCACGACTATTACATCATTGATCATATGAACAAGGGTGATGAACACAGCACGACGCTCATGCCCTTCCAGACATGAACTTGGCCTACACGCATGAAAAAGCGTTAACGCCATTTCTTTGCAAAACTACCCGGCAGAAACACAAACACAAAAAGAGACAGAAAGTCCCTTAAGTGCTGCCTCATGTCCCTCCCCGTGCACTCCTAAACGCAGCCGGTCATCGCCGCCCACTGCTTTGGGGGCGGCGACACATCGGTCTTCAGGATCACGGCACACATCAGGTAGCCGGCCAGACGGATGGCTGGGCGGTTGAACGACTGCGCAAACATGTGAACGCGGCCCCCCACGTCAGCAGCTTGTTCACCTTTGCCGTTAGCTCCTTAAACTGCACTGCTGGCACGCCCTCGCGTGGAAGTCGTCTGCCACATGAGGCCGTGGCTGCGGCGCCGATGTGAACACAACTTGGTGCTCTTTAGCACGGTGCAGAGAAGATGGTCGATCGCATCGTCTGCGACGGAAAAATTTACCTTCAGAAATCAAGGCCACGAACTGCAAACTTTAATTTGGTACAGTATGCCTCTCGCAATTTTAACCCACGTCTTGCTGGGGGAGGGGGAGGGTGTTTGAACACCCCTTCTGTGGATTTTCGCGAATATCTAAAAAAAAAAAAAACGGCGGCGCTCGGGGCCACCTAAAGTCAGGTCGCCAGGTCAAGCCAAGTGACCTCACTACTTAAAAAGTTATAAAGCCTACCATAGCTACACCCTAGTGACCGATTGCTTTGAAACTTGCAGCGATTGATAAGAGCAACAGTTTGTACAAAATGTATATCTTAGTATTTTGATGTCGATGCCTATAAGGTCAGGTGAATTTTGCGACCTCTCAGTTAAAGGTAAGCAAATTGGAGACAATCGAAAGGCGCCTCTTTTGGACGCAAGTCATATTGGCCGTAAGTCATATTGGCCGTTTTCGCGACGGGCTACCGGCGAGTGCACCTAATTTGACCAAATCTGCACCTAATCTCTTTTACAGCAAATATCTGTATTTTATGAATTTATTTCAGTGTTTTCATCGATGATACTCTCTGATAATATGGTAAAGCAGGCATATAAGCAATTAGTGCAACCACGTTTAACATGAAAATGGCACCCGTGACCCCGTTTTATGCCCCTGATGACATCTCAGGTCATGAATGGTATCTGACAGTTTTTTCGCGAAGAGCTTTTGATAGAGGCATAGAACGATGAAAACACCTTCGTTGTGTTCATTTCGACGAACGGATCAACTGATATGCAACCTGACCCTTATCGGTCAGGTCATGACCTTGAACTGAGGTCAAATTGTTAAGTTAACCTTTCAAGGTCACATAATAATTTATTCAATGCGTCTTGCCGAGAGAAACACGATTCCGGTAAAAGAAAGTACGTGAAAGGCTTAAGTCAAAAGTTTTTGCTGAAAAAACTTTCAGAAAAAATATATCTATTTTGGCAGTTTTTACCCCTCCCCCGCATGCAAAACCACTGACGGCAGGTCAAATCTGAGAGAATTAATCAGAAAGAGCGTTAATGGGCTATCAAAGGCGCTTTTCTGTGTTTTTTTTTTCTTTTTCTTCTTCATCAAAATTTGAATGTTGTCAAAAATTGAAAATTATCAAAATTTAACCTGGAAATCGGTGAACTTTTGCATTCAATGACCTCTGGTGACCTGACCTTTGAGCTGACCAAAAAAGTGACCGAAATAATTTCTTCCTTATTTTGATGTCCTTTCGAACGCCGCCTTCGACGTGTCGCTACATGGCCCAGGAGCTAAGTTAAAAGGGGGGTTCAAACGTTTCCTCCCCCCCCCCAGCAGGGCCTGGAAATCCAGGAACTCCCGCGGGGTGCGGGTTAGAAGATGCTTGTGAGCATAACATTAAAATATGTTTAGAGTAAATAGTGCTCGCATATATTACTTTGAAATTGACGATAAAAATGTCTTAATCATACTCAATGCCTATAGGTATTGAATATCCACTGTAGTTTACTACAGTGGATATAACGATGAACTTCTATGATCTCTTATAAGAAGCACGAATGAAATTTCACATTTTTCTGCTCTTTTTTTAAATACTTTCCGTGTAAGTGTATACGAGTATATCAAACTGTTAACAGGACGTTCATAAATACATGAGCTTTTGGTACCTATTCGGTTACGGTTCCAACATTCCCGGGTAAAATGCTGTTAACTTACCATCTGTGAGGCATCCAGCTGCTCTTTCACCTTCGCCATTGGCCACAATCGGGGTCATGGCTTCCCGGGAGAGTTCCAACTCGTTGGTGTCCTGCAAGTCGGCATTTTTTATCCGGCTCAGCTCTTTCCAGACCTGAAAACAAAGGATTAATGACGCATGCTGAAGGACGACTATACCAGTAAGACGCCATCGATATTCGCATGGCCGGCTTAAATTCTTCTACTTCTTACTGCAGCGTCTGAAAATTAGCTGCCAATCCAGTTCCGTTATCGGTGGTCATGCAAATGCGATGTCACACAAGCACATCTGTTTTACAGTAGCACTAGTAACTCTCGCAATCCCTACCGTGCGGCGGACATGACCCTGGGGTTATGCATGCATTGTCGGTATAAGTACAGACTTGTGCCTCAGCCAAAAATCAAGATCCAAGATCCGCAAGATCCCATGCAATGCCAGGATTTCAGAATACTGGATCTCCTTGATCTCATTGAAAAATATAATATAATTTTAGGATCCAAGATCCCCTGGATCGCACGTATAAATAACACTTTAGGATTCCGGACCCCACGCGAGAACGAAATGCCAGAGTTCAAATTTCCTGGATCCAACGTAAATGTCATGTCTGTAGACACAAAATTAAGCGTTAAGTTTGAACTTTAGGGCCAGCGAAGCAGGTTGTGCACAAAGACTTCTTAAACAACCTTGTACGCCTCGCTAATGCAAAGCATTTTGAGATTTAGCAAGAAAAATGTGTTCTCAGAGACTAAATGTAGGATACAAGATCCCAAGAATCAATCCACAGAGCAAAAATGTAAGATTCAAGATCGCCGGTATTCATCGACAACAAAAAAAGATGTTGGATCAAGGACCAGCAGGGTCTCCAAAAAGTATTGATGAATTTATAATCAGATAGAAGAACTGCGCTCTTGGATCCTGTGGATCGAATCATTTTCGGATATTGGCCCTAGTCTGTCGGTAACAAAGGCAAGGGAAACAAAATACACATGAGGGCGGGTGCAAAATAACTCAAGATGAGCTTCAGGAAGAAAACTGACTCTGAGAGCCGGTGAAGGCGCGTCTGCAGTTGCACGCACCAAACCACCTGACTCTGACTGCATAGGATCGCTTATTTACAACGCATCAGACCATGTACAATGATTCATGTTATCTATGACAATGTACATACTTTGTTTTCATCGACGACGGATGGTGGCCATCGGGATTTTCCTCTTGACGATGAGGTGTCGCCTCTCTGAGAAAGTGGCCTACATGGCACCGTCCAGCTGAGGAGAAGTGAGAACATCATGATAGAATCAATTCGACCATGCCTGGTATCTAGATGTCACTCTTGGGGGTGCAGGGGTGGGCTTTTAGAAGAAGCACTTGGGGACTGCTCATTTTCAGAAGGATTCGGCCAAATGATTCAATTACAAGTCGTTTATTACAAAAATACTAGATGAACTACGAGGAAGATGAAAAACATGATGAAAAGCTGACCTAGCCTTACCTTATAACCTACTAACTAGACCTTACAACCTAAATAGGTACCTACAATCTACCAGCCTACATCTTACAACATACAACCTTCCACATGCCTACCACTCGAACTTCATTTGCACATATACCACCTATCCTAACCTATAGATGTTTGCACCAGGGTTTGAGCATTAGGGGCTGGCAGAAATAAATGCTATAGGCAAAGGCTTAAAGAAAATACTTGATGTTTAATTATTCTGTTAGGCTTCACGCTGGCAAAGCTGCCCGTAGAATAACAGGTTAGGTTTCACTGTAGGGGCATGTTGAGCATGACTGATATGATATTCCACATTTTGATGGATATTATGAACCCCTCAAAAAGGCTTTCATGTTATAGACAATACATAACTAGGAGTGTCAACCAACCCACAGGACAACCCAAGGTATCAGTAGTGTTGTGTGAGTGCACATGTAGGTACATTTTCAATGAAAATATGCATTTTGCACTTAAACATACCTACAGGCAATAAAATACGTAACATTTAACACTCACCAGTCGCTCCAGCCTCCAATTCACTGCGTCCGCCGCGTCCCGTGCTGCACTTCCGGCACAAACATGCAAGATGGCGTCATGGCGGTAATATTAACGCGTAAGGCTTGTGTAAAGCAGCTCATGGATAATTCACGGTTGATCATATTTACCGGCGCATCATTGGTTTCCTTAAGCTGCGTTTGAAGAGTTAATGATTTCAAACTGGTTTTTGAACTCATTACTCACGAACAATGAGTTAGCAAGAATCCATGTCCTCTTTTTCATGAGTTCTTAAACCCAAACGTTCAGTTTCACTAACTCACGGGTCGTGAGCACATTCCTTACTCGCCTTACGTGAGTTTGCGAGACTCAACAGGGAGTTTTGATACCAATGTTTTGTGCGTCATGAGTCAGGCAACTCATAGGGAGAAGGTCATGCATTTGGGCAATTTAGTTTTCAAAACGAGTAAACTTTTACTCTTGAGTGTTAACGCTCCACGCATGAGTTACTCATCCAAATATACTCATGAATGGCGAGTCAAATATGAATTACTCTCCCCTCATGAGTAGATTTGTTTTCAGTGTTGGCAGCGCGAAATTTGGGATTGTGTGGTGTTTTTCCCGAGTCTTTTGGACGCCTAGATGGAAAGGTATGACCGAAAATGTATTTAACGGGTCATTTCAGGTCAAAGAGGTCAAACTAGGTCACACGAGCTCAGGTTAGGCCACAGAGGTCAAATTAGGTCACACGGTGTCAGGTTAGGTCACAGAACTCACCATAAGGTCACGATAGTTCACGCCAGGTCACAGAGGTCAGCCAAGGTCACGATAGGTCAGTCCAGGTCAAACTGGTCACATTAGGTACGGTCAGGACATTTGGGTCGCCGGAGGTCACGATGGGTCAGGTCAGGTCACGGAGCTTACATTAGTAAATGGGAGGTCCCATTTTCATATGGCATGCCCAAGTCGGCACAAATTGCGCAAACTTGTCGTGCCAATGCAGGAAGTGCGTAAACTATGCGCAAACTATGCGGAAAGTATGCGTGAGCTCGTCGTACCAGTCCGTGTCAATGTTGACACTGATGGGCACGCATTCATGAATCATTCGTGAAATCGTCGTGAACTGGTCGTGCACTAGTCGTGAACAGTGCGGGAGCCATCCCAGTTCGTGCACGAAAATGGCACGGCTTGCCACGACAAAATCGTGACCAAAAGTCGTGCAAGTGTCAGGGCACCTTTATAATGGTGAGGTCACGAAAATGACCTGACCTCATATGACCTTTAGGAAAAATCCGAGATATACAAGTTGTGAGACTCATAATGAATACTAGATCCTGCAAGTTTCATTTCCCTGTGACATCTCCTCTGGCAGTGAGGGCGTTGCGAAGTTGCGACATCTGAAGACCGTGCAGAGGTTCACTTATGACGTCATAGGTCAGTGACCTGACCTGACCCAAACATGCGGTTGGTGTCAGAAGATCCGGCTTGAATCAATGGTCAGGTATGCCAAGTTTCAGCTCTCTATCGCCAGCTGTTCGGAGCTATCGCGAAAAAACCCTATGGGGGGCGGCACCCGCCCCCCCCCCCCCACCTCGGCCGGCGAGGGTTAAGGTCCTAGGTCATCGATTGACCTTCTAGGTCCACTGGCGGTCGCAGCCGCTGGCAAAAGGGGGGGCCAAAGTCACACTCGCGGGACATAACATTTATCCGTCACCGGAGGGGGGGGGGGGGGTGATTGGCTAATTTTTTACGTCCACGAGGCGCCGAAAAAGTTGGCATTACTTATGCTTCATCCACCTCATTCTTGCGTGAAATCTTTAAGCTCAATTTAAGGCAAAACCACCAGTTCCATTTACCGTCCCACGGTCTTTCCACCGGTCGGGCTACTGCACCATGGCGACGGATCGGTGTAGCATATACTGGAAGGTCGGGCACGGGGATTCATGACCTTACCACTATAAAATTATTCGGAAAAGTAGGTACAGATACCTCTTGCTTTGAACAAGCATGTGAAACCCAGAGAGCATTTTCAAACCATGACATTTACCCATATAGATGTGTAGCGGCGGGAGAAAGTAGGTACACATACCTCTGGAGACCCCCGACCCCACAGGTTCCTGGTTTTCAAAATTGGCATCTGAGGGCCGCGCGCGACTCGTGCGGGGCTTCGCAACGGCTCTATTGGGGCTCGGCTCACTCAACCTGTCTTATAGTCCTACTGCTAAAAAGACTGGCCCTGGGCCCTAAGGACTTCATCAGTCTTTGCCAGCCCCACACACCGGCTCATGGGGTCCCGACGTCGAAATATGAGGGAATCTGCGCGGGACCATCAGGACGTAAAGTAATCTCGATCAGGACCAACGTAAGGCTGTGCAGGAGTCTGTGTGAGCCCTGTAATCTTCAGAAGCCCACCCATGTATGTTTTCACTTAGAGGCCAGTTTAGGGCCCTCAGAGACCAGTACAGGGCCTGCAGACTGCAACGGCCAGTAGTTTGAGACCATCAGAGACCGAGTTGGGCTCTCAGAGTTAGAGGCTAATGTGGGTCCTTACTCATTACAGGCCAACATGGGGCCCTCAGAGGTCAGCGTGGGGCCCTAAGAGACCGGCATGAGCCGTCGTTGGACCCCAGAGGCCAGCAGAGGGCCCTCAAAGGCCAAGATGGGCCCTCCTCATAGGCCAATGCAGGCCCTTAGAGGCCGGCATCGGGTCTTCAGCAGCCAGTGCGGGGCCCTCATTGGCACCTAAATGTTCCGTCTTGGGACACCAGAGACAGCAACAAGGCCATTAGAGACCGGTGTGAGACCCTCAGACGCCGGTGGGGGTCCCTGAGGACGGTTAGGGGCCCTCATATGTCAGATGTGGGGCCTCAGAGGTCGATGTCGGCTCTTAGCGGTCAACGTGGGCGCTTGACCGCCGCTGAAGTTCCATCAGAGTGTAGGACGCTCAAAGACCGGTGTGGGAGCTATATTAATAGCTGGGCGTGTTTTTTTTTAGCCTCGTGACGATCGAATCAGGGCCAGGGCCCATACACCCATGGGGGCCCATCGGTTGCTTGAGGGGGAGGGGCAAATGATATGACGGCCCCCTTTATGTGCCTTGGGGGGGGGGGGGCATGACCCTGATCCCCCCCCCCAGCGACCGCCACTGTGTACACATTACATACAAGCCTCTGAGATTACATACTAGCTTATGCAAACTCTATGCAGGGGCCCCGGAGGTCCCACGCTAATCCTTAAGAAACCAAGCCGGCATACGGCGTCACCACCGGGCTTCTGAGGTGCACAGCACCAACCCATGAGGTCTTATGTGTCGTAGAGCCACGCTCATTTGGCAGGGCCCACCCACCACTGGTGAAGAGGGTCTCATGCAGGCCATTGCTGGGCCTACGAGAGCCTCAAGTAAACCCACGCTGATATTCCATATAAGATCCGGCCATACTCGTGAACCGGTGCCAGCGACGCTGACCGCCAAATTGACAGAATGCGAAACTGAGCCCACTCATGAGTGAAATTTACGTCCTTTGATGGCGCAAGAGAGAAAATGAAACATACAAAAAGCTTTTCTAGGACTTTTGTTCGATCTGAAAGGTGGGGCCAAAAGATAGTATGGCCCCACCTTTCAGCACCAAAGGGGGGGCCATGGCCCCCGTGGCCCCCCCCCCTGGGACCGCCTATGCGGTCAATGACCCAGAAGTCGGAAAATCGGGACCTATTAGAAAGTCGTGAAGTGTGGCTGCTATGGGGTTTTCCCGGGGTGCCGATCACGAATATCGTGTTAGTTTTGATCACAGATGATGTCATTGAGTATTTAGACCAGGTCGGGTTAGGTCAGGTCAGGTCAACCAGTAGGGGTCGTGACGGGTATTCGTAATACGTGTCAACCGCCTCTGACAGCTTTGTAACATGTTACGGAGGCACCAACACTACTTCGTAAATGTTCAAATGGTTGCTAAATTCGAATTCAGCTCCAAAAACTAGCCTAGAAACATGTAAAACTTGAAAAAGTAGACCGAGGTCACCAAAGGTCAATGGCCTGACCTGACCTTCAGGTGACCTTGACATCCACCCAAGTGCATGGGAGCAACATCAAATCACATGTTTGAACGTTCGAAACCACAAAAAGCTTGCAAACGCGCGGCTAATGCGAGCCGGCATACGCCGAATCGCGATTCCGGCCAAACATGGTCTCGGAAAGTAGGTCACAGGTCAAAGGTCATTTGGGTCAAGGTCATGAAATTTTCAGGGTAGGTGTAAAATTGATCAATGCGAGGGACTGAAAGTTTCGTCGCGATCGGCCGCTTTTTACGCGAGTTATTCGCGAAAAAACCTTAGTGGATAGTTGCATACCCCCCCCCCCCCCTGTGGCGGCGTCCGGCGAGGGTTAAGCAGTGGAAAAAGCACTTTTGGACAATTGACATGTGAATGAGACGTGGAAAGGCAGTAAAAACAGCTGCAATGCGTTCAGTTTTACAATAGGCAATCGATTGGGATGCCACATGAGTTTTACCGGTCAGGTCATGAGCTCGACCTTAAAAAATGTTCATCTTTGGAGGTCAAATTACCTACCATTCTACACTATTGGACGAGAGAGACATGATGCTAGCCGAGCTGATTGTTTTTAATGCCTATGTAGTATGTACCCACAACAATGACAACAATGCACCGCTGGGCTACGCTTCGCTTGCGTTCCAGGACCGTAGTGACGTCACAGGAAGGGACGCGGGCGGACCGCTGATGACCCGTCCGCTGTCAAAGGGCGGGCTGGGTTTGACGAGCGCACAATAGCGGCCGCGCGCGTGTTCCTGAAAGCGATAGCGAAGGCACGGGCGCCGGAAGGGTTGGACGCTTTGACCCTCTCCCAGACCTCCCGCTGTTACTGCCAAGGTTACTGCTACTGAGAAGGAAAATAAGTGACGGTGGTATTCACACAGGCTTTTCACTAATTTCTGACGTTTCGCACGTGTCGTCAACAATTCTCGTCCCCTAGAGATACTTGCACGATGCTTGCACGAACACTAAGGTAACCGGCCTGTTAGCTTGAAACGCCGCCAAAAGCATAGGTTGCTCTATGGTATAATCTCTTCCATGCATGTGACCGGTCTGGAGCCTTTTCGCATTAAATCGATGCGCGTTTTTATCGATATAGGATCTCCATCGATCTTATAATTTGGCGAATTTGCGATCTGAATGATGGGGTGGAGGCGGTGGAGCAAGATTAGAATGGGTCTGAGCCAGGACAGTAGAATCGGAGTTGAACCCAGAGTCACCAAAATCTTACTAACTCCGACTCCGGAGCAGAATCGACATCGCTAACTGAATGGCTCAAAGTTATACCCGTAGCGGAAGCCAGTCTGCCGAAAAATAGCCATTTTCACGACGGGCTTTCTGGCGAGTGGGCTTATATGGCAGTGTTCGCCATGGGCCGGGCCAGCCAATGGGTCATGGGCTGGGCTGGGTCACGGGCTGGGCTGGGCCCTCAAATATAAATAATCGATGGGTTGTGGTGAGTGTGGATGGGCTGGGACAAGGATGTAAAGTGGACTCAGAGGTTCGCGACTGAGCTAAAAACAAAAACTAGCTTATTACTGTGCAAGACTAAAAAAACGAATGAAAGCATAGTTATATGTGCAATGTGCATTGTGCATGCTGCTCCCAAAAGATTGTTTCTTTGCGCCTATGGGTGACATATGTAATACCTGTTTGGTGTCCATGATCCATTCATTGTTGACGGGCTGGTCCGGGCTGGACGGGCTAGACCGGGCTGGGCTTCAACAATTTTACTATGCATGGGTTCGCGTTGGGCCGGGCTGTCAACCCATGGGCCTGGGTCGGGCTGGACTGGGATTTTGCGACCCGTGGCGAACACTGTTATATGGACTAAATCTACAAAAATCTCTTTAACAGCAAATATGTTCATATCATGACTTTATTTTAGTATTTTAACCCTCGCATGTGTAGGGGTAGTTGGATGGACCCGCGTCCCGCCCCCTCGGTTTTTCGCGAATAATCTCGCTCAAAAAGCGGACGATCGCGACGAAACTTTCAGTACTCCAGAGTTGATCAATTTTACACATACTCTTTTTCTTTCATGAACTTGACCCAAATGACCTTTGACCCCTGGCCTTTTTCTCGAGACCATGTTTGACCGAAATCGCGATTCAGCGTATGTCAGATCACATTATCCGCGCGTTTCCAGTCTTTTTTGTGTTGTAAACGTCCAAACATGTCAAATGATGTTCGTCCCATGCGGCATGCATTACGGTGGGTGCCAAGGTCACGTAAAGGTCAGGTCAGGGTCATTGATCTTTGAGGACCTTGATTCACTTTTTCGAGTTTAACATGTTCCTGGCATCCGTTTGAACATTTACTTAGTAGTTACGAGCGAGCGAGCGAAGCGAGTCTTTGCAATATAACGGAAAAATATCAGTATGAGCGGCCCGGCCTGGCCCGGCCCGGCCCGTAACGCTTTTGAGAGGCTTATATCTCAGCAACCGCTAGACCGATTGGCCTGCGGTCTTTTTTTGCTGGGTAGCCCCATCCCTTCTACCCCGTAATTGACTACTTTTGATACATCTCAGTGACCGTCGTGGCACGTGCCACGTGAAAAGTCAAGGATGTTCAAGCTGTTTTGCAAAAGTAGTGATTTTGAAAGGCTCGTATCTCAGCAGCCGCTTGAGCGATTGTCTTGCGGTAATTACGGAGCGAGCGAAGCGAGCGGAGTCTTTCCTTAGATTAACGGAAATTTCTGAGTATGAGCGGCCGGCCGGCCGATGCGGACGCTTTTGCGAGGCTTATATCTCAGCAACCACTTGACCGATTTACATGCGGTAATTTTTGTAGGGTAGCTTCATTCCTTCTACCAAGTATTGGACTATTCCCGATGCATTTGGGTGACCCCTTATGCACGTGCCACGTGCAAAACGAAGAGGTGTCAGTTTTGTAATTGTTGCAATATCTCGGTAACTACTTGGCCGATTGCGCTGAAAGTTGGCATGTAGGTAGGCACCCACTAGTCACTGCATATACATGTGCCAGAGTTGGGGTGCTGCTGCACGTGCGCACGTGCAGGGGTCGTTTCCAGATCTCAAGAACGGCTCGACCGATTGCGCTCAAATTTGGTACCCAGTTAGGGACCGGCTAGTAGGGTGCCGTGCACAGGTCAGTTGGGACCCATTTTGCACGTGCGCACGTGCAGGGTGCCGCTTCCAGATCTCGAGAACGGCTGGGCCGATTGTGTCCAAATTTGGCACATCGCTAGAGACCGGTTAGTAGGGTGCCGTGCACAAGTCAGTGGGAGGTACCCCCTCGCAATTTCGCACGTGCAAGGCCCACCCTCTCGCTCGCTCCGTTAGTCGCCCCAAAAGGCGTTATACTGGTTTTTGTAGGGTAGCTGCATCCCTTCTACCAAAGGTCGGATACTCTTGATCTATGTGAGTGACCCCCACTGCACATGCAAAATACAAAAAGAAGAGGTGCCAAATTTGTTCCCATTTCAGTAGCTCGGTAATTACTGGGGCGATTTCGCTGAAACTTGGCATACAGGTAGGCAGCCACCAGGCTATGCATTCCCATGTGTTGCGGTTAAGGTGCTACTGGACGACGTGCAGTGCACGTGCGCACGTACAGGGGGCGCTTCCAGATCTCGAGAACGGCTGGGCCGATTATTTCAACATTTTTTTTCTTCAAAAAGCGGCGCACAACTCGGGAACCAATAGAGCTACCCGACTCAAGAACCAATAGACGCAGCAAAACGGACGAGAAGGCAAACGAGAGAACGCGACGAGACACTTACGATGAGCACCTGAAAGTTGAATTTCAAGGTCACAGGTCGGGTCAAGGTCAGATCAAACACATGAAATTGGGCTTTCAGTAGCATGGGTCCAAAACACCTCTGGTGACCTGACCTTTGACCTGACCGAAAAAGTGACCTAAGTATAAAGTTCGCCATTATTCCTTACGTTTTTTCGAACGTCGCTTTCCCCGTATCGCTACATAGCCCAGGAGCCGAGCTAAAAGGGGGGTGTTCAAACACCCCGCCCACCAGCAGGGCGTGTAATTCCAGGACCCCCAGCGGGGTGCGGGTTATGAAATGCATTCATCATGGTCGTGAAGCAGTCACAATAAATTGCCAAGATTCCATTCAAGATTTTGGAAACCGTAGAACGATAGGTAATCAAAAATCGAAGATGGCAATTTGATTGTTCATGGTAGGTATTGGCAGTCCAATGACGTTTAGGTACGGCATGTCTGTATGTCTATTCTGTGCCTACCCATGATTTTTTTAAACATGTGTCGTTTTTTCGAAAACTCAAATCATGACGTCACTAAAACCTCGATATCTTAAAAAAAAATGGACCGATTTTTTGGGGAACTTTGTCACAATAAATTTCTATAAATTCCCTACATATACCTACCTACACAAAATTTGGCACAAAAAAACATCGTCCCTATGCTAAAATTCTGCACCAGCAACATTCCAAGTGCTCGTGCTTACAAACGAGCCAATTGTCTATACGGACTCTCAGCTGCTCCCGGGTCATGCGCAGCGCCTCGGCCAGCCTCGCCGACTGAGCGTATGCCAGGCTGAGGCGACTATTATCTATGACCGTGGAGGCGACAAGCCAGCCCGTCACCGCAAGAATGGCGCTGCCTCCCTCCCCCTCCTCCCGACCCCGTCCCCCGACCGGCGCGGCATTCCTCAGGCCACAATAGTGACTCCCCTCCCTCAGCTGACCCGTCCTCAGGTGCGGTGTACACTGGACAAATACCTCTGCCGGGGCTGACGGGGTCCATGTTTGAACAAGGGATTAAGGGAAGCCTTCAAACATCTCAGACGGAGTTTTCGCCGAAACTACCAGCTAGCGCCATCCACCGGTGAACGGCGGTACTAAACTTCATTCGCTAGTTCCCGAAACGACACACCATGCAAGCCAGCTAGAACCTCTTAGTCACACTACCAGACCAGAATTTTGCTGCTGAGGTCATTTCAGGTCAAGTTAGGTCAAGGTCAATTATATGTGTTTGTATGTCTGTGTGCGTCTGTTTGTATACTGATGTGTGCACCGATTGTTTATGTGTCCATATTACATGAAATCATGATCTGAGAAGCTTTTACCAAAAATGCAGTCAAAAATATTCACAAAAAAATAAATTCCGCTTGCCTAAAACGCAATTATCTTAGATGACCTAGGTTGACCTTGACCCTGACCTTGACATCTGTACATCGTCGAACAACATGCTCCATGATAGGTGGGAGGTAAGACTGGCAAAAAAGGCCGAAATCAAGGTGTCAAAAGCTCACAAGACCAACGCAAGATGTTGAGAATTGGCCCTTTGGGTCATGACATGACCTGAAAAACAAGGTCATATCTCCGAAACCAAAAACCACAGAAACTTCAAATTTTCAGTGAACATCAAGAAAGGATAGAAGAGCAGCTATACGAAACATCATGCTTCTAGCTCTAAAAATGTTGAGTGCAGAGCAGAAAGACTACCTGGGGGGTGGCAACCCCCCCCCCCCATGTGCGGGCGAGGGTTAAAGTGACCATCCCACCTTAACATTAGTTTTGAGCTGAGATAGCCAAAATGGGGTCCCTGGCCTGCACTTACTGGTTTGGGCACTCAAACGCAGTGAGTGTCACCGGTTGACCGGTGACAAACCAATCACTGCGTCTAGTAACGGCGCACACGCTCGTTTTTTCCGTGACGCGCTAGCTCCGCCAGGGGCAAAACGGCGAGGGGGGTCGTACCCTTCCCCCCTCGACCGGCGCGTATGTACGCGTATGTATATAGAACCAATAGGTCCGGCGAGTGTTGATTTGTCGACAGGGCCCTGGTTTGTTTTAGTGCACGGTAATAAGTAGGCAAGCATATACCTCAGTGCGCTTATTTTCAGAGCGCGGCCAGACATCGCTGTTCCAGGAAAGGCTGTTATAGAGAACGGTATACGAGAGGTTCAGCTTACCAGGATAGGCAAGGGACTAGTCAGTGGTACTGCTCGCCCCACTGCCCACCCCCACGTGGTGGTAGCGTGATCCCTGACTCCGACCGCAGGTAATCCTCATCTGCTGCCTATAACGAGCTCCGAAGTGGCCCAAGAGCGTCGGCTCAGCGACCTGATGACCTTCAATTGCACTGTTTATAGACGGCTGCGCCGTTAGCTGTATCCTCCATTGCTATTACAGTGCATATATTTTTTAGCTTCGTCACTAACTCCTTATGTATTTCCCCTACGTCGTGGGCTGAGGAGAAAACATGAGCCCCAAATTATTATTCTTAGGTACTGTTGTTGTTGTTGCTGTTGTTGATTTTGGTACTATTGTTGCTGTTGTTTTTTATTATGAGCCTCTGTCAATAGTTGATAACCTAAATCGTGGTGCATTTGCTTATCCTCCAAGTCCTGTCCTTAATCGGTACTTTTCTCAAGTTTCTCTCGACCTTGACCGAAGAGGAAACTGGAAACTATATATCATTCGAATACTAGCGTCGTCTGAAGAGCGTCACAACTGTCGTTAATGCACCATTTTTATTGGACTTTTTCTTATGGAAGTGTAATCGGTTGTTCTGCTGACGGCATCACGAATTTAAGAACACAACCGTTGTGATGATATTGGTGATTTTATTCCAGAAAACTGCTCATATCGGGTATTCGTCAGCAGTTTATTTAGCAAAACAATTGTTCCAGAAAAACAACACTGATTTCAAAACATTTCTCTTCTTGCGCCATCGACATTGAAGGCATATTACCTATCGTTATAACCTAAGTCATGGACCTAAATCAAACATAGCTCTCCTGTCTCTTTCTCCGCGAGCGGTGCCTCCCACCCTCTGTCCTCCCCGCTTCCTCCCTCTGTCTGCCGCTGCTACCACCATTCACAGGCGAAATGGATTTGGACAGCACACGCAAGAGATTCATCCTGCCCATCGGCGACGGCGCTCTGCCGCCCGTAGCACCGTCTGTCGACCGCCAACTGGAAGACCCATCTCGTCTGGTCGATCCACGGCCACTAAAAGTGTTCGGCGCGACCTCTATAGACATCCTCCGGCTTGGGGGCTCAACATGTATTCTAGGTGGCGCTATGATTGCTGCCGGTGCATGCCTGAACGAAACTGACTTCACCGAAGTGGGTGATTGTGGGTTATTGTGGTGCACAAGTGCTTCTTCTTGAATCAGGCGACTGAGTCCCGGCAGCGTTTCGGGCCTTGCTTTTCGCCTGCTGCAGTTGATCTCACCACCGTTTCGTTCTGTTCTCGATGTAGCGCTCCAGTGCAGGTGCTCCAGCTCACGAAGACACTGGAAACTCAGTGATCTAGAGGTGTGGTGGCCCTCCGAATCATCCGTCTCAACCGGCGCAGCACGGCGAAGCACATCTAACTCACTCTCACTGGAACTCAGGCCCGCAGGAAGCGCTCCCACCTCTCGACCGCGTCTTCCAGCGACCGCATCCACCTGTACGTTCCCCCGACCCTCTGTGGAGCCTTCGCGACGCCTGGTGGAGCCGCGAGCTGTCTGTCGAGCTGCCAGCTGCAGCAGCCGCTGTCGCCGGCGCAGCTGCCTCCGGGAGAGCGTCGACTCGGCAGTGGTAGAAGGGGTGTCTCTTCCCGAGTATTTGCGGCGACTCGGCAGTAGCGAGGAGCGTCGACGTCGGACGGAGGGCGGAGGCTCGTAGGATACCTCGGTCACCGTGGCTGAACCGGGACTCTCAGGGCGGACGGAACTGTGAGCTGCTTCTGATTCGGTGATGGAGAGAGAGCCGCTCTCCCAGTCATCCTCCGAGGCACTCTGTAAAAAACGGCATCTTTTAGCATTTGAGAGAGAGAGAGGAGAGGAAGAGAGAGAGAGAGAGAGAGAGAGAGAGAGAGAGAGAGAGAGAGAGAGAGAGAGAGAGAGAGAGAGAGGAGAGAGAGAGAGAGAGAGAGAGAGAGAGAGAGAGAGAGAGAGAGAGAGAGAGAGAGAGAGAGAGAGAGAGAGAGAGAGAGAGAGAGAGAGAGAGAGAGAGAGAGAGAGAGAGGAAGGAAGAGAGGGGGAGGGAGGAAGAGAGACGCGTTTCTAGCGAGTCTTCTTTGTCCGGGGCACTCTGTAAAAGCCGAATAGTTTTCTAGGCACTAAAAATGATATTCACTGTAAAAAAAAATATCAATCATTTGTTACACTAAAATGCTGTTATTGATAAAAGTAATGAGCACATGGGGTTGTCAATTTTCCATGGGTGTTTGATGAACAGCTTTAGATAAATAAGAAAACTCGTTCGACAATTATTGTTACTCGATGGGGCAGCTTGATGATAAAGTAACGGACTCTCCATTTCTTACCCGACGGAGATCTTGCCGTTCGCAGCACAGGACGAAGAGCCGGTACAGCTGGAGACTGGTCACCAAGCTGTTCTTACATGTGAAAAATATGTTCATGTAAGACACCACCTTGTACCGGAAAATCAACACCAACCTGAAACAACGAGAGGTTTGAATGTCAATGTTAAAAGGATTCATGAATGCTTTCACGAAAGTATTCATTATTCACTGATAACTTTCATTGATCTGCCATTTCTCTCGCCCGTCCTCCTCTTCTCTTGGCCATATGAGAAGCAGGAATGGCACTTTCTATCTTTTTCCACTTGAACGTCAGATGCTCTGTTCGTTTTCTTTCCCTTTCACACACCTTCCCCACACCTCTTCCCGCCTAAGCAGCCGGAAGGGTCCATCCCTCCCCTTCCTCAAAGGCCAGGGTCCGTCCCTCTCCTCTCTTGAGCAGCATGAACTATCCGTCCCTCCACCAATGTAAGCACCAGGACCTATCAGCAGTGACCACACCTTGATAGATCCGTCCCGTCCTTCTGTCCACCTGAGCAGCAGGAAGGGTTCGTCTCGTTCCTTTTCCCATTTGGGCAGCCGGAACGGCCCGTCCTCCTCTCCTTACCTGAGCAGCAGGAAGGGTCCGTCCTGCAGCAGCACCGTGCAGACAATGGCGATAATGTCCATGTCGGCCCAGTCCTCACAGGTGGGACCCTCACGCGAACTGGATCGCGGAGAATCCATCCCGAGACGGGGCTTCCGGCCGCGAGACGCCGTCAGGACCAGGGTGAATTGCAGCAGAGACCACGACCAGATACCTGCAGAAGGGGGATAAATGGAATAGTAGAAAAACTATGACCAGCGGCAGATGGAAATGAGCAGCATGGCAGGCCAACCACGGGCGGATGTCTGCTTTAGCCGGGGAAATAAAGCAAGCATAATAGCATACAACACACCACAGGCCTGCAGTATGTATAGTGGTGGATGGAAGGAATGTCCAGGATTATTCTCAACTTGATAGGGGCACTATTATCTATCATGGGCTGTGGGCACTGGGCGGGTACCTCAGTGTAGCGATAATATTTAGGGGCAACTACCAAGGGTCGTTCTCTGCAACGATGTGAGGACTGTGAGGTTGATATATGCAATTTCAAAGTATAAAAAGACGTGATATTATCGTGACCCTTGGACCCAATCGCACCGAAGAGCTGACAGCAATGGCTATTGGCTAGGCTAAGCTACGTTAGGTTATCATTGTATGCAAAATATTATATGTGCTTTGACATCCATCGCATCGAGAAGTAAGCAACAATTACCGAATGTGAGATCAGTCATGCGACTTGCTGAAGAATGCATATGAACATTCCGGTAATTAGAGAAAGTTCAATTTTAAGTCGCTTCTGTAAATTATCGTTGTAATGACAGTTGTGGTATAGCATTGTCCGAACACAAAACGTAACCTTATTATCTGGAATGGTGCTACTTCGAAAATAGAACAGTTTGGCCGAGCGAGGAGCGTGAGCCAATTCCGGTCATTACGTATGCAGAATGATTGTTCCACGATGGATATTGCCGTTCCATGCGGGCCCGGGCCGCCAGTGGGCAGCTGAGCCCACCTCCCCCCTCTCCCCTCCTCTGTCTCCTCCCCTCCCCTACTCTTCCCAGCGCCCACGAGCCTAAATTCAGGATCACGCCGCAGGCACAGGCGGGACTGATACACGGCTGCATTAAGATTAAGTCTTCCAGGGTAAGGTAAAACATCGATTGCATCGTGCCGGAATATTGGACACAATCAGAACGTCTGACTTTTGTTGCTGTTTTTCGCTGCACGAACCAATCCTGGCTGTGCATTATTTGGTTCCAGAAATGCGCGTAGTTTAGCAGTGAAAACGTCTGCAATATTTTTATCAATGTAGCGTATTATATACAGCCTATATTAGGTGAGATCAGTGGACAGTACTCATGGGTTCCAACTTCCATTACTTGAATTGTTCGCACATGGCACCAGCCTGCTTCATACACAGGCATATAAAAATTGGCGCTTGTTAAAAGTGTAAAGAAAACCAAACGCACACCTCGCAGAAATCAGCAAGAGTTTTCCTTGTACGATCAGCTTAGGAAGAGTTCCGTCTACGTAGCTGATTTTTACCGCGCATCATGTCTTCACCGAACGATCGGCCGTCAGTAGGGTCGCCGGTGTCGTAACTTGGCGCTCACGCACCGCTTGGCCTATATACCCCAGAGTGTTCGTAAAGTTGGCCACCTCCGCCTGAGCTGACACATCGACATGCCAATCAGCCCCGCGGAGGTTAAACTGGAAACTCCGTAAAAGCTGAGCACCAGCTCCAACAGAGAATTCAGAGAAGGTTCAGACCATTAGACCATAGATACTGAGAAATGTGAGTCCTGTGAAAGCTAAACTGAAAACCCTTGGGAAATAGAGCTAAATACTTCACAAAGTTTGAATGGAAAGACTATTTCGAAATGGCCCAAAATAAGGGTTCAGTTGTCCGCTGTGCTTTTTTCATCACCTCCGTCCTGGATCATCCTCACACATTTGGGCCGAGAAGGTCGACCCACCCCACGCATTCGGTGAGGGCAGCTCCAATAAGATCCTAAAGCACGCTCCTCTTGCGTGCCTGTCCTTTCGGGGCAAGCTTCTCACATGTGGGATAAGCTCAGCCGGTTCTGTCGCACCAGCCGGTGGTGAATGGTGTTGGGTATTGTATGTATTTGTTGGGTATTGTATGTATTAGGAGAGCCCAAAAAGCATTATCGTTCGCTTTTAGCTGGTGTTTGTTTGGCAATGATTTCAAATGATGTTACTTTTATTACCTAATAATACCGAGTTTAAAAAAGCATACAAGATAAACATGTTGTTCTCTTGTACTGCTGACCCTCTTTATACTGTAGGACACCTCCTGTGCAGACGGGAAGACAGAGAGCCCCTCGTGCCCGGCACGCGCCGGCGATAAATATCGTGCGACGCGCTGGCCGCCTCCACGGCAGCAGCCGTCGCCAGGAAACGGATGGAGGCAAATTCGGCGCGGATGAGCGGACGTAGCGCACGGAACGTGTTCGAAAGCGTGTGATGCAGCACTTAGCAGGTAAGAGCATTTGCCGATACTGAGATTTCGTAGAGTGTTATGTTTGAACAGTGGTGTTGTTTTTAAAAGCTCAGATCACATCTGTTCAAATGGTATAAAATATCAAAACATAGTTGCGAGCCTTTATGTACACCATAATATGTACAATGTGCGTTGTGCACTATAAATCGTATTATCTGAGTCATACAATACATACAAACAAGAATCTAGAACTTCCCGCTCACTTGCCCAAAATAATGTAGGTGAGCTCGGTATTTTCGATGACCTCTTGCCAGTCGAATGCCTCAAACAACTCAATGATGTCGGCTGAGAGACCCAGGTAGGCGAGCAGTAGTTGAGACAGCTGTTCTCGAGACAGCTCCCCTGGAAAAACAACAAAGCACGGAACAGAGGATCATGGGGTATCAAAGTAAGTTACATGTGCATCCGTGAGCTAAAAAGGAGCATTGAATATCAAACACACAGTTCAGAGAATAAACTAGGCACCTACTGAGGCACAATATGAAAAGTTTGTTTACAATGTATCGAATGCGTCCCAACGGTAAAATGTCATAATAAGACACCGATTGGTATAGAACTTGGCTCGATTACGTTATGCATTATTTCACTGAAGTGGGGTTTGAGAAACTAACAACTAGGCTGCAACATAGAACATCAAACAGAACAATCTACGAGTACAATATCCTGAAAGCAAACTTGGTCATATGATTCACAGCTGCAACGCCATTGTGTCTTATTGCTTCATTTGGTGCAGTTCTACCACAAATGAACTCTTACCCTTTGGTAACAACCAGCGGCCGACAATTAGAAAGACAAGGAGCAGCTGTTCCAAGACCTCAGCCCACTGCTGGCGAGGCAGGTAAATAGCTATTTCCTGAGGGTAGAGACAAAATATTAGAAGAAAATCGGTTTGAGGCTTGTAGACAGTAGTAAGATGCAATTTGCCTTCTGTTGAACCTAAAATGCAATGTTTTGCTAAAGGCCTAAGATTATCAAAGAATTGAATCAATTTTGAATGAATTTAATAGTAGATGTATTATTCACTGGCTGTCTACAAAGCTTTACTGTAGTGATTAACTTTGGAAAGAAAATCGTCGTAACATATGCTCGAGCTCTGCTTCTTTAGTACAACGCACTAAAATTATCATAATCAAAAGTTGGAGCAGCATTTTGGCTGCACGCTGTTGTTTTCCTTACGAAGTCCAATATCTGTGAGAGCTTCTCCACGGAGACGGCGGTTGTGTTTCTTTTGGTTGACCACTTCTCTTTGGCGAGATCCAGCTCTAGGATCCAGAGCGGCGGCACGATGGAGCATAGGTACAGAAACACGCTCGGACAAAACCTGCCGAATAAAATAAATACCTACCTCATTATGCATCAACATGTGCAAGGCCAGATGTTAATGGAACATTTGCACGCTTATGATTGGGAGCATCAGCTGTCATTTGGAAACCAACGAAGATAAGAGCCGTTTTCACGACGGCCATCTGGTTCACATTTGGTGCACATCTGGTGCAGATTAGGTGCAGATTTGGTCAAATTGGGTCCAGTGTGTCTCTTAGTAGCTATCAGCTAGGGTTGCACTAATTGCTGATATGCCTGCTTTGTCATATTATCAGAGAGTATCAGCGATTAAAGCACTGAAATAAATTCATAAAATAAAGATATTTGCTGTAAAAGAGATTCGGTGCAGATTTGGTCAAATTAGGTGCACTCGCCGGATAGCCCGTCGTGAAAACGGCCATTATTCGTCATAAATAATGTATGGTGCTGAAATTCATTGATGAAGATGCACGTGAAAACACACGCATTCTTTTATTTAGTGAAGCAATATTTTACAGTGCCTTTATTCCTTCAAATCTTCTTTTCCCATTCAGCATTATTCGCAAAGTGCAAAAATCGCATTATGTGATTACGGTGCACAGTGCACACTGCACATTATACCTTGATATAAAACCATCTACCATACCACCCGCGCATTAAGTTAGGTTAAAGAAGTCGCTGACATTTCCGGCGTCTGAACTATCCCCCTGTGGCGACGTGCTGAAGTTGCTCCCGCCTCAATTCCAGAGGGTCGACGCAATAGCATTATCAGCGGCCAAGTTTCCTCGTAAGCTTTCCTAGGTAAGCGTACATGATAATATAATGCAGGCGTAGCTCTTCAGCTGAACTGACTGGCAACTGAATCCTTTGGAATTTCGGAGCGGTTAGGTATGTACTTATGAATTTACTTTAAAAAAAGAAATGAAATGGTTGCGTTTGCTAGGTTGCTAACATCGATCGTCCATTTTCCCTTATAACATGCTAATCCATTTATTTGCTATTCATGCTATTTCAGCGCAGTCGCTTTATGATAATGTGATTTTGAATCGCTTTATATCCAATGCTGTGAAATAGAGTGAAGTGATGAATTAGTGTCGGAGATAAGAGGGGGAGTCTGTAAGAGGGGGAGTCTGTAGAGCCCCCCCCCCCCCCCAGTCACCCATGTTATGGAAAATTCCCCATGGTCATGCGCGGTTTAAAACTGCTTACCATTTGAGCTCCTTGCCCGATCTGCCACAGACTGACACCATGCCCTCGAAGATGAGCAGCAGCACGGCGGTCAGCAGGAACCAGTAGGACGTGTTGCCGCCCTTGACGTCCACCACCTTCCAGACGGTGATGAACGAGTGGACGACGAACAGGCCTCGCGCCAGCACCGCCTTCACCATGCTCAGACACGCCATAGCGCACTCCGATGACTTCAGTGGGGATGACACAGGAGGGGAGGGGCACACCTGCTACACTGCACAGTGCACACCTCTGCTTCACTGCTAAGGCTCGTCACACGCTGCTGCTCAAGTTGCACGTGTCAAAATTGGTGTGTGTCAAATGACGACACTTGGTGACAATGTATCCGCACCTGATGACACTAAAATGTCACCTAATGACACCTGAGTGGCACCCTTTTCGTCACTGAGTCGTCTCGCATTTCTCTATCAACACTCTGGACACAGATCGTCACCCGAACCACAATCCCATCGCTGCTTTCCAGCAATCGCCACCACCGGGCCTCGGAGCCGCACTGACCCAGAATTGCCCGAGGGTCCGGGTCGCCATTATTTACGTGCCTCCGCAGCGGGACCGCCGCGAGCCTGACTGAGACCGCTTGTTATCGTAGCGAGAAGTGTTTGGGGGAGAGCCGGGCAGAGCTTACCACACAGGTGAGCCGAGGAGCCGGGAGGGGTGGGAGTCGGGACAAGGGAGGAATTGTGATCGTCGGGTCGTGACGTCATCGACACCACTCCTCGGGGAGGTGGGATTGTGGCTGAGGTTTGTGAAGGAATGTGGGGAATGGTGTGGGGGAACCGGAAAAGTTGCGAAATGAGATGCTTTGATTGGGTTATTGGTTGCAGTGTTTCAAAACGTAATGATGAGGCTTTACTTTGAAAGACCGGTTAGTGTCTGTAGAGGAATTGGAATCTGTAGAGTTTTAAACAACTTTATTTCGAGAAAAAATATAGACTATGTAGATCCCATAGTGAGTTGCACATTCAAAGCTAGGCTGTATTGTACCTACTTAGTTTGTATTGTACCCTGTATTGTACCTACTACTTAGTATGGCAGAACTCAGGCAAGTTCTGCCATAAATGATTTACAGGCTCATTTGGCTTGCTGACCTGTAAAAACTGTCGGTCATAGAGGTGGTCATGTTGAGTTAGCTCCCACTGAGCACAGTGACCTTTACGGGGCCAATCTGCGCGCTGTCCCCGGTCTGCCGCTCCGGTGACTGGACAAACATCTGGTCAAATTCCCTCTGTGGGGTCATTCTGCCCTCCCTCCGCCTGGCCGGCCCGCGATGCTCGCGCTGCAAATTGCAAGCTGACCTTTCGTGAACGGAATGATTTAGTTTCGCCTTTGAGCCGAAGCCAGCTACCGGGAGGCACAAAGGAAACTGGGATGAGGGAGCGGTTGTCGTCCTTAAAGGCAGCACTGGCTTCACCATGTTAAATTTAACTCACTCAATGGTAACTGACGGAAATTGGATTCTTATCGAAACTTGCAATGAATGCGGTTCAGCTAGCGCTTGCGGGAGCTGTTCAATCCCGAAATTCGTGTTAGACTCAAAAGGCCATCGACAACCTATGATCGTGGCTTTACTATACCATATATATCAATATTACCATAACATGTTCACAGTTGATATATTTGTTGATATAAAAATCGACAAACTGTAAAATGTTAGATTTTAGGACTAAAGTACGTATCGCTAAAGTACGTAGGACAAAAGTACGTATGCAAATGTTCGTACGCAAATATACGTAGGCGATAAAGTTCGTATGCCAAAAGTACGTACGCAAATGTTCGTACGCAAAAGTACGTATGCAAAAGTACGTAGTGCATAAAGTACGTATGTCAAAAGTACGTACGCAAATGTTCGTACGCAAAAGTACGTATGAAAAAGTACGTAGTGCATAAAGTACGTATGCCAAAAGTACGTACGCAAATGTTCGTACGCAAAAGTACGTATGCAAAAGTACGAAGTGTAAAATGTACGTATGACAAAAGTACGTACGCAAATGTTCGTACGCAAAAGTTCGTATGCAAAAATACGTAGTGTATAAAGTGCGTATGACAAAAGTACGTACGCAAATGTTCGTACGCAAAAGTACGTATGCAAAAGTACGTAGTGTATAAAGTACGTATGCCAAAAGTACGTACGCAAATGTTCGTATGCAAAAGTACGTAGTGTAAAAAGTACGTATGCCAAAGTACGTACGGTTCGTATGCCAAAGTACGTACGGTTCGTATGCCAAAGTACGTAGTGTATTAAGTACGTATGCTAGAAGTAGGGTATAGTAGTGTAAGTTGAGCCACTTTTTCTTTATTGCTGCTCTGTTGCCATACTACAGGGAACTCATGATAAATTCATATACCAAATAATATAGATTTGTCCATTTCGCCCATTTACTATTCGAGAAATTTTGCTATGCCTTGTAACAAATGTTCATTAAATAAAGAATAAGAAAGGTATTACACATTGATCAACTTAACCCAAGGGTGGGGTACGTACTTAATACCCTACGTAGTACGTACATTTGCTATACGTACTTTTGTCCGTGACGTACTTTTGTCCACACGTAGGGTAGACCGGGGCAAGTCGCCCCGCCGAGGTAAAACGCCTCACCGATGTTTCTCGGAACTGGCAGGGTTCTGGGGAAAGATCCTCTCTTCTGTTAACCCGGCCGGGCCCGGGGGGTAATTCCAACCACCGCAGCCCGGCGAGGGGCGTTTTTCGCCCCCTGTCTAACTCCGTAAATAAGGGAGCTACGCAAACAAAAGCGACACCAAACGAAAGGTCCTTACGAGACGATTCTAAGGCACCCAAAATTTTTGACCTCAGGTCAATTTTCAAGGTCAGAGGTCAAGGTCAAAGGCAAAAACCGGCACATGTGTAGTGATCTCAAAGTGAGCGTTCTAGAGGACGGCAGGATGCATAAAACCGGCAAAATTGGATGTCAAACGAAAGAAGAGAAGCTGAGAATTCCGAAAATGTGCTCAACATCAAAGGTCAAGGTCAAGGTCATGCTCAAAATTGACCTCTCAAACTTTGCACATTTTCATACATCTTGCGTGTCAACTTCAAAGATGTTTTGAAATGTTTTGAGGCTTATCAGGTCCCTATTTGTGGTTCATCTTACGATACAAGGCTGCTCAAAGGTCAAGGTCACAGAAGAGAGTCCTTGCTAGAGGCAATTTCACTGATTCAAGTTAGTAATAATAAATAAGACAATTTTGCCATCCGGAGGGTCTAAATAACGGCTTAGAGGAAAATAGATGCCAGATTCGTGATCAGCGGGTACGAATCCATCTTAAACGACTTTGATGTGTCAAGGTCAACCAAAGGTCATTCGAGGTCACATGAGGTCAACATAAAACTTGCCCTTTTCCAAACAAAATATTCGACGCGGCTTGACAAGGCAAATGCGATGGTACCACTGCCGTAGCTCTAGGACCATTTTTGTCGAAGTTATTTGCGAAAAACTAAAACCACAGCTCGGGGTCGTTACCTGACCTCTGACCTCAGGTCACTAAAACTATTTTTGTATTTTTCTAGGTTAAACGCTACACAACCGTGCTCGTAATTTGTCTTTACCTCTAAAACTCTATTTTTAGCAGCTATTTGAAGTTCGCGTCTGTGACACCGAAGTTGGCCGTGCAGGGGTCTAGAAAAATCGACTTTGTGACGTCAATAATGGGGCTAGGTCCAAATATTTTACTTCAGAAGATGTCAAATTGATGGGAGAAAGGTACTGAAAGTTTCGCTTTCCTATCTCCAAGCGTTCGGGAGCTATCGCAAATATTCGCCAGGGGGGGTGGCGAAAAACGCCCCCCCCCCGGGCCCGCGAAGGTTAATCTAGTGTATGGGGCTTCTTGCCTCAGGCCGTGGGGCGTTTTGCCCTGGGGTTGGGGCAAAATGCCCCATTGCTTCACAAAGCACTTCCTAGCTGGGAGTCTGATCATAAGTGAATGAATTTGAGGGGTGGAATTTAAAATAAAATGTCCAAAGAAGTAAAAAAACATTGAGCACAAATTTGGCCTTCCAGGTGATGTGAGACAAAAGTAGGTACCTATGTAGCAAAATAAATTGTCTGGGGCGTCTTGCCCAAGGCTGCCATACTTTATACCCTACGTACATACTACATACATTTGCTATACGTAGGCTTTTGTACGTGACGTACTTTTGTCCGTGACGTACTTTTTACCCTACGTACATTAGCTATACGTACTTTTGTCCGTGACGTACTTTTGTCCGTGACGTACTTTTGTCCATACGTACTTTATACCCTACGTACTTCTGCGATACGTACTTTTGTCCCTGACGTACTTTTGTCCATACGTACTTTATGCAGTACGTACTTCTGCGATACGTACTTTTGTCCCTGACGTACTTTTGTCCATACGTACTTTATACTGTACGTACTTCTGCGATACGTACTTTTGTCCTTGACGTACTTTTGTCCATACGTACTTTATATTGTACGTACTTCTGCGATACGTACTTTTGTCCCTGACGTACTTTTGTCCATACGTACTTTATACTGTACGTACTTCTGCGATACGTACTTTTGTCCTTGACGTACTTTTGTCCATACGTACTTTATACTGTACGTACTTCTGCGATACGTACTTTAATCCTACGTACTTTTGCTTACGTACTTTTGTCCTACGTACTTTAGCGATACGTACTTTTGTCCGTAACCCAAAATGTTAGAAAATATTACGCACGTATTCACACTGCAGACAATATACAGATTTAAGCATGTATGGGTTTGCTAATGTCCGCTGTCCTTTTCAGAAAAAGCAGAATGTGCTGCTGTCACAGGCAATAACGACTAAAACACAGCCGTGAATACGTATCATGTTGAAATGACGTCTATCAAATGACTGATTTTTATTCGCAAAACACCGTCTGAACTCATCATGCCACCAGGTTATCGATGAGTTTGTCAGGAAACATTGCATTCAAACCTCTCTAATTCCACAGAAAACGAACAAACGCATCAACCAATGGAAGTCTCTGGCGGAAAGGGGAAACGGGTGTCGGCGAATATGGGAGGGGTGAGGCTCCTGACTTCTGCACGTCTCCCTGTCTGGGCTGAAATGGAATATTTTATCACGCGTCTGGCACACCTTTGGGAGACGCTGCACCGGCTTTGATGGCGTCTGGTGACACTCAGGTGTGACCTGCAAGTCTAATGAAGGCGGGACAGCCTACCAAAAGGAGACCAGAGACAGATCTGTCACCGGGGTTTGGCGTGACGGGAAGGATAATC